CAAGTACTGATCCCTGTGGTACCCCACTGCTTACCACCCTCCACTGAGAAAATTCCCCATTTATACTCACTCTCTGTTTCCTATTAATTAGCCATAAGAGGATACAAACTCATAAGAGGATACAAACTCATGGAAGTACCCATTTTGCTACAAATAAAGCTATTCAGCAGTATGGGCTCTGCTTTATTTAGCAATGTAGTCATCTCTAGTCCTCAAGGAATAGGGAATAGTACATTTTTCACTGCTTTTATTTGTGCCCTATATATAATGTTACTTGACTGCATATTCTGGCAAACTACAACAGAAGTTCAAATGGCTTCTTAAAAACTAGTAATCAGAAGGGGGGAGATACCAAGGCAAATGAAGATGAAAAAAACAAAATGGTGCAGAGGGATAAGAATCTTTAATAATTGCACAACCCCTACGCGTTCCGCATGCAGCTTCGTCAGAAGGAAGCTTCTTTCCAAGTAAACTCTGTTTAACTGTATGTATGGGAACAGAACTCTGTGTAAGCGTATGTTCGGGAACAGAACTAAAAAGAATCCGAAAGTAGATTCCCTCTGACAAAGCTGCATGAGAAGACCCATAGGAGTTGCACAGTTATTAAAGATTCTTATCCCTCTGCACCATTTTGTTTTTTCATCTTTTAAAAAACTAACAAAATTTATTACAGCATGAGCAGACTTATTTATCCAATATAGACAACAGATAGCATGTGTGCCAACAATACCTTTCTAGTATTTGCACTGGACAAATAGGCTGGTCTGTTAGAGAATGAACTTGATGTTTGCTTTATGGGCTTATATTTATTGCTACACACAATGGACTGTGCACACACACATAGGCTCAGAGAACTGTACATTCCAAGTCACCTGTTGTGATGCAACACATAGAAGGTGCCTGCACAAGCCTTACATGTGAATGAGGTTTCAGTTACACAGTTGCCAGCCTGGTGAAGGAGCACACACCTCCATTATTGTGAGCAGTAAGAAACAACAGCTTTGAGAAGAGACAGCCCCCATTGCAGATCTAGTTGTGATCAAGTACAACACATCCATGCTTTGTTCCTGCATTGGTATTTCCTGCCAAATGGACATTTGGTTTATAATGGGATGGCCAGCTCTCATCAACACTTCAATGAAGCATCGCCAAGGTTTCACACCTACCCAGATGTCTTCCTTGAGTAAGGTATTAGATTTCAATATTGACCACTCCACCTCCCACTCCTATAGGTAACCAATA